CAGAAGCAGCACTGCAAAGACAGCATCCATTGTTTCCACTGGGATGGCATGATGATGATCTCACCGGCAGCTGCGTGCCAGCCTCTGCTCCAAGGCTCTCGCTAGACTTCATCAAGTGAGAAGTTGCTGTTAATTACATCCATATTCTGAGTAGTCGTCACTCGACAGGGTGGTAAGACACCAGAATGGGCCAGATTTAAAGATGAAGACAATGGAATGGGATGGAGCGCTTTTGCAGATCACTGGCTTTTAAGTAATGGAAAGCACATTAGCATGGAAAGAAAACAGGACACGCTGGCTTAGCGTCAGATGTAAGCCTCTGCAAAGGGACTCTGGTGTCATTTTCATGCAGGAAATGTGCAATCAAAGGTTGTCTGGTTGGTCAGCAAGAGCTGTTTGCCTTATAGATTTGAGGAAACAATATCAAGACAAAGGGGGTGTGCAGCTCTGTCTCAAAAGGTCCAAAAGGGCCTACATGTTTTCCTGTCAGTCTACAATGAATTATCTAATTTGCTGTAAGGGGTCATCAACAGCGGAAAAGATGAGGAAAGATTTTGTTCTGATAAATAATGATACTTTATTTGGTTTTGTGTTTTTATATAACAGGAAATGAAGAGAAAATAATCCCTCACAGAGCAAAGGCATGCAGCATTATCTTGATTAAATGATCAAACATTATAAGTAATTAGATATAGACATTATTCCTTATGAATACATAAATACAGCTAAAGACAGATGAACCCAGTGAAGCTAAATTACTGTTATGGGATAAGATATACAAGAGAAGCCCAGTAACGAGGCTTTCAGGTATTGACTGCTGGGCTTTCTCCAAAACAGTTTAAATTATTGATGTTGTGAGCATGTGCAATCAATGGCATCTGCCTGACAGAGATTCAATCTCACAGTTTGTCTTGCGTCTCATTCTTGTTGCTCTTATTGCTGTCGGGACCCATCAAGTTTGTCCTTAAACACATTTGACGAAGTCATTTTTGCACAAAGTCAGCAGTTCCAGAAAAGTTCCAGAGGAGCCGTTACGTCAGACTGTAAACATATCATCCTCTCCCACTGGAGACAAATGTGTTGCACAGATGCAAGTATTTCCATGCCAGTCGAAGTGAGTTCATAAACTAGGAGACAGCTCATTGACTCGTCTGAAGGTCTACCTTCTATTTTCCCTAGAAACCACTGGCAGAGAACTCCTACTGCTTAAACTATGCTGCTAATATATACAAATATATCTCTGCATAAGAATCTAGAAAATTCAAGTTTGTTAGCAGGAAAAGTATGAGCGTGGATGGTGAAATATAGAAGGATAAGCTATGAATATTGTGAGTAAATTCCAGATATTACTGTAGAAGCTTCCTTGCATCTGTTGCATAGCTGCTGTTTAATAACGATGTTTTTGTCAGCTTCATGTTTCAGGAATAGCAAAAGCAGCATTAAATTAGATTACCAGATGGATAATCAACAAGTCATAAAAAAGAGCAAACATGCTAATGGAGCTAAATATAGTAAAATGCTGCAGTAGAAAACAACAAAGTGAATGCAATAACCGGTATAACCTTAGTTGAGCATGACTTTATGGGAATAAAATGATGCTGTTTTGCAGAAATTCAAGTAACTGTCACAAGAAAAATGGATGGCAGAGACTGCAGCGTCGAAAACGTCACGGGTGCAAGAGTTAAGCGCTCTCCAGTCAAAAAAGTACTGCCAATATCAATATTAATTGCATGCAGACATTGATAAGGCTGTTTTAAGAAATCGAAATGCCTAAAAAAGACTAGAGTTGGCACTGTGGCATCTGATAAAGATGACTGAAATGACTGAAGACATACAGAAAAGGCAGCTTGTTTTCAGCAATTCCTAGCTCATTTTTCTTCTGTCTCTTCAAGCCATGATTCCCCTCAAAAGACATCTGTCTATCTCTGTATTCACGAAGGGCCTGATTAATGACCTGGCTAACCCAGCACTCAATACTGAACCACACTACACCAATCTAATTAGCCAGTGAAGACTGCCCAGGCTGTAGCATCTTGTCCTCCTTCTCTCCATGCATCTGAATGAGGAAACATTAAAATGGATGGACAAATCTGGATCACGTCCAGAGTAAAAAAAAGAAAAATCAAAGCGAAGGAAAAGGCCTTGGAGTCAAAGGCTGCCTATCATGAATAATAAAACTGTCTGGCTGAAACTGGAGTCAGAAAATGATCATGAAATATAAAATGAATTGATTGCTATGCATCTGACTGCGCACTGAAATGATTTGTGCATGCCAGGAGGGCTTGTTGAAACACTGCTGACATGCTTAATGAAACAGATATGAGAATTTCTACTCTTTTAATACCACTTGCGATGACTGGAGCTCAACTGCTTAACACAAGAGCAACTCATTCCTATGGAAAAATAGAAACCATCAGTCAATCAAAAACCCTGCTCCTACATTTTAGATTAGAAAATTCAAAGCTGGGTTGATGCATTATAATAGACACCTTTGTAAAGCTAGATTTAAATTTCAAGTTCAAATCCTAGACCTGATCAATATAGGAACAGCATCAGGTAGGGGAACTAATCATTTGGATTTATAATGCCCTAGCTAAAGCAGAGCAGCCTTAAAATCTCTCCGAATGTGGATATTAACAAGGAAAGTTCCCATTAGTGAGACGTTTCTTAAACTGAAAAGTGGCCACATTTCTCCTTAATCCACTCAGATGCATGGTGAGATCCTCTGCAGGACAATATGGATCCTGCCAAACCCTTACACTCAACCAGAAAAGAAAACACATGGACAGACACAGCGCACCACAGGACACATACAACTGCGCACAACTGCGGTTACACACCGATTAAATTAGCTTGAAGGAATAACAGTGGCCCCCAGGAAAATATTTTCATTGCAATAATAAAGCAAAAGCTTGGTTATGTTCCTCTCCAAGCAAATATTTGGCTTTGGGTCAGCTCCATGATTTGTCCCTAGAGATATCTATTGCGGCTAAATGTTTAAAAATGAAGCATAAGATGCTGAAAAGAGTAGAATTAAGAAAAAAAACTGCCTAAGTGTTTATAAAACTTAGGGGCCTTGGGTTAATAAATCAAAGACAGAGCAAATACATGGAGGAAGGGCTGTGGTTGTGGTGTCACTAGGGTGTTCGTTGTGATGTGAGTGGACTCGATATACGTGTCTTATCCCCATCACGGAATAACGGAACTAAATCCTTAATCTTCCCACATAAAGTTCCCTTGGTGGGTGATGATCGCTCTGTGAAGATAAGCCAAGAGAAAAAAAAAATAAAACATGACAAAGCCTGAGACAGTTTCTGTGCTAGAGACTGTGTGTGTGTGAAGCTTGGCAGGATGCCTGGATTAAATCTGAGCATCTCCGGAGGCAGTCTCAGTTCTAAAGGAAGCGGAAAGTTATCAGGTAGGACTAGAAGTCAGAGGGAGATGTAAGAAATAATAATGATAATTAAACTTTATTGATCTCACACTGGAGAAATTTACCTCTGCCTTTAACCCATCCCCTTGGGGAGAAATGGGCTGCCATTGTGTGGCCTGTTTGCTCTCCCTTAATTATTCATTCCTTTCACCTGTGATTTTCCCTCCCTGCCTCAATTATAATTTATTCCTCTCACCTGTTTCCTCTTGGTTATATTCAGTTCAGCCCTAGCATTCAGGGCCAGATCATTTTTTGTCTTTCTTTTAGCCTGTCTGTTAGTTTTATTCCTTGGTTCATGTCCTGGATCCTGGCAGCCAGTGGAAAGAGGGTTTTTGTGTTTGTCTCGTCTCCTGATCCTCCACTGATCCTCCCCCGCGGAGTCCTCTGGGCTTTTGGCTCTATATGTGGGGAGGTTCAGTTTTTATTCCAGTAGGCCTGGCTCCAGGGAGGAGACCAGTTTAAAGTTCCTGCATAAAGTTCTGATTCCACGTCCTGTCTCGGCTACCCTCTTCCACTGAGCCTGCCCATCAGCACCTGATCCTGTCTGCTTCTGTGCGTGACCGTCTGGTCACGCTTCCGAACTCTGTCAGACTCTGAACCTGTCTGGGAGCTTGTTGATGCCTGGAAGTCTGGATCCTGCCACCTGTTCTGTTCCTGCCTGATCTGGATCCTGTTCCTGTCTGTTCTGGATCCCCGACCAGGATCGGCTTCCAGCATGACCTCTGGGACTGCAGCACTTGGGGACATTCTTGGACTGGACTGCTGAACCAGGTAAGTGGCCAACTCAGACAATCATCTTCTGTCAGATGATCATGGTCACTTATCTGTGTTTTTCCTGCAGAGTGTCTGTGATTGGGCGGTACCCCGCTCCAAATCCTGCAGTGTCCGCAAGCCACAGCTCTTCTTTGGTTTTTGTTTATTTAATAAACCTTTTTGAACTTTCCTACTGACTGTCTCACCTTGAATACTGGGTCCATCTGTCCGCATTTCATGACGCAGAGACCCAGAGTGCAGGCCGTGGGACCGGGTACTTGCAACCTTCTCAGAGCACAAGCCCACTGCTCTAACACACTAGGCCAACACTCCCCCAGGAAGAAGACAGGCAGAGAGCGACAAAGAGGGTGGACACATCAATGCAAAGGGTTCACTATGTTAGGAGGAAGGGCATTCTGTTGGGTTAAGAAAGTGGGGCAGGACATGTTTTTGTACATAAACATTGCTTCACTAGGCTAGTGGTCTTTGTCAAGATACAGTTTTACCCATCCATTAGTGAATCTTTCAGTTTTGTATACTCGCTTAATCAATGCTGACAAAGAGAGCCTGGATAAGTGGCGAGAGGCAGAGTAGACCCCAGACAGAAAGCCAGTTCATCACAGGAAAGAGACATAAACAGGAGAGACAACCATACGCTCACACATTCATACCTAAAGGCATCACCAATGAACCTAACATGCTTGCACAATTGGGAAGAGTGTATTAATATAACCCACACCTTCTTTCAAATTAACACGATAGAAAATGTGATTAATTTCTGATGTTATTTCTTTCCCAAGAAAGGAAATGTTACCTGAATCCACTCCTTGTTGGAGTCGGCTGCTGGAGTCCACGCATTTTCATAGTAGTTGAGTCTGGAGCGCTCTGGGGACCAGCTGGGGTTGTACTGGGATGAAGCCATGATTTGGTCTGATGTTATCTCTCCCGACTCCATTCCCAGTGGGTCGCTGCAGTCATAGTCTGAAAAGCAGAGGAGGATAGATAGGAGATGAAAAGGAACTCAGAAAAAAAATATACGGGAGACAGTGAGAGACTTTCAGCTGAATTTTAAGCGACCAGTGTGCTTAAAGAATGTGTCTTTTGTGTCCACTCCTTAAATCCAAGCAAATCTCCAGGGTGAAGGCCTCTGCATGACTGACCAAAAAAAAAAAGCACATCAAGGGGGCCTCTGCAAATCTCCCAGTACTTTTTAATAGAAGCTGGATGGAAGCATAAAAATGTCATCATAAAACATTCAGTGTGGTTTATGCTCATATTAGGCGTTAGGGTGACTTTTGCTTCAGTTATTTTTTCCACTCACTAAATATATTACCCCTGCCTCCCGTAGGGAAGCTTATCTTTTTTCACAAACTGCAAAGCTCTCTTGGTCCAAGCAAGAGTACGTCAGTGTCAAGAAGGTAGCTGTGTGTCTTAACAATCATTAATGTTCTTTTTGCAATCCTGAATTATACATTTCGATGCCCTAAATATAGCCATGAGCTCGCATGTACTTGCACACTTGGAGGCCTCTGGATGAGGAGCATTGAGAGGAGCCATGCGGCCGCCGCCTGAGAGCTAACACAGATGGTCTCCCCATCTGCCGCACCGCCAGCACACCCTTACTCAATGGGTCATCGTGTGTACTTCTAGCAGTCTTTATGCGCAGCTGCACGGGTTCATGCTCGCCAGTATGTCAGAGGCACCACACATGAATGATAAACTGTCTCACAGCCGTTTGCTCTGACTACGTGAAGAAACATCTACTGATGAACCTTTCAGAGCTGGCTGACATTATCAACCACAGATCCTCCAAAACACAAAGAGGCATTTGTTTTCTGCAGAGGTTATATCTAGTTACAGGGGTTACCAAGCGCGGTCAGGATTATTGGTTAGAAAACACTGGCTGGGTGTATTGGAATAAGAGCAAGGGACAGAAAAAGCAAAGAAAATGCATCTTTTCTGCACCCATTGGGGATTTTTAGCTACCCTTTCCCTCATTATGCATTATGCATTATGAAAGATTAAGTTGGCACAATCTTTAAAAGGCAAAGGCACAAGTTTGGAGCCTTTCTATCTCAAAAACATGTTAAATAATCATGTAATACTAAGCAACTCACACTTTGATCGAGGTATGTACTAACGGCAGGTCAGGTCACATCCTCTGTTCCTCTACAATGGAGGATGTGGAGATACTATTCGCAAAACCTGATCCCGGATGTTTGATTAAATACGGTGGTGTAAATCTTAGAATAAAACCCCAGCAGTCACAGCTCAGCTCATCACTGTGAGGCAGCCTTGTTCCTCTTGTTTTGTGTGTGCTTCAACAGCATCTGCTTTCCCCTTTGGGCAAGACAGAATCCCTTTTGGAGATGATTAGTAGACTTGTTGAAAGTCATCCACCTCTGCTGCTATTCAGAGACGGGCTGTGCGTGTGGGTGCGGGTCCTTGTGTACGGGGTGGTCTAGCTGCCGGACAGATTTACGAGCCTTACCAGAGCTCGTCTTCCTTAATGAAATGTTTAGATGGAGAGTTTTTCAAAATGGGGTCAGGGGGGTCGAGCACTGTGACAGGGATGTGGCATGTAAAAAGCCCTGGGGGTGATCGTGAAAGTGTGTGTTCAGGCAAGTTACTGACAGAGGCTGTCGAGGCTAACTTGTTGCCTGTAACCCATCACTGAGATGGAGAAGCAAGAGGTGTTCGTTTAATAACTCTTAAACTGTTTAACAAGCCATAATTTGTCATAATTGACCAACATTTACTTCTACCTGGATTATTGCTCCTCTGGTGCTCCCATCTGCCCCCCCTTAAATTCTTAAACACGTCTTAACTTGACTTTAATCTCCTGAACTTATTTTAACCTCTCTAGACTTTTTAAAGTTTATTTTTTTTACCTCACAAATTAGCTGTCTGAGCCTCAGGTATCTAAACGGTAGTTTTGTGGAGCCTACCCAGCAGCTCAATTAATATTAATTTTTTTTGAATAGCAATATCTTTAAAGGCAATATTATCTTCTTTTTACCAAAACCTGGACAAAGCCCTCCAAGGTAGAAAGTAGAAATAAATGAAAGGAGAACAGCACTAAATAAATGAAAAATGTCTTGAATTAAGTGTATTTACCCTTAATTTGAGCAGGTAAATAAGATGACCTGCCAATGGAATTAGTATTTTTACTCCTAAAATAAGATAATTAGCTAATATATGCTTGAATTAAGACAAAACTATAGCTTTTTTTCTCATTTTAAATGTAAATTGTCTCATTCCATTGGCAAAGTGTCACACTTACCTCCTCAATTCAAGAAAAAATGCACTTAATTTGAGCAAAAATTACTTATTTAGATTGTCATTTTTTGCAGTGAGGATACAGTTAATTTAGATGCTGAAATAATGTTTCTTGACATGAGCTTAAATGTAAAGAATCAAATCACTGGCTTAAGTTTTGCATTCTATAAAACAGAGCTAATTTGTTTTAGGAAATAATGCTACGTTCACACCGGACGCAGCAGGAGCAGCAAAATCGCGTCTGCTGCTTCGTTTTTGCTGCAGCCTCTGGCCGGGTTGCCTCCTCGCGGTTCACCGCGGCGGCTAGTAGGTGTTTTTCATCTAAATAATCTAAACTGCAGGCACCAGGATAATAAAAGCGAACATATTCTGCCGGCAGATTTCTCCATTTTAAGTTAATTTATGCGTCAATAAACTGTTTCAGAGGAGTGATCACAGCGCTCTGTGTCATCAGCGATGTGTCTGTCTCACGGCCAGCTCCCGGATCAGCTTCTCTGATTGGTTGACGCGGCGCGTCGAGCAGCAAAAGTTTAATTTTTCCATCTCGAGCAGCAGCGTGTTTGCGCCTCGTCACGCGGGTCATATGCTTAAACGCTCCCGACGTGCCGCTTCAGATGCGCTGCGCCTGCTGCTCAAAACACGCTGCGGGACCTTTTGCTTCGCCTTGACGTGCGTCAACCATTGACTTTGCATGTAAACTCGCTGCTTCTGCTGCGTCCGGTGTGAACGTAGCATAAAACCAAGCAAAAAGCTTGCCGTGTCATGGGGATGATGAATGAGGAAAAGGAAAATTATCTTGTTTGTGATGCATTGCTCCAGAAGGAAATGAGCTGGAGCAAAGATGAATAAAAGTAGCCATTTGAGCAGACCAACACAAAGAAACTAAGGTGGGACTCAACAGGCATGCAATAATGCATCTAAGGAAGAACCTGCAAAAACTTCTGTGATATATTTTGATATAAAAGGTAAGATTAGGGGCACTGCTAGCCATCTGGGTGCACTGAGCACAAATACAGTGTGATTACCCCTCCTGGAAATGAACAATAATACAGTATTTGTCAATTTTTTTCTCATTATTTCCAAAATAACTTCAAGGTATTAACGTTTGAAAACACCTGCAGTAAAAAAAAAAGGAGAATCCAAATCTTGAAACAACACTTAACTAATTTGGTAGCAACAATGGTGCATATATTTCTGTTTGTTCTTTTTATTTAAATCTTTTTATTTAAATTCTAGATTGATAGTTGGATCTTTACAAAAATACTCCCCATATCTGTATAGCGTTAAGGGAAACGTTTACACTTTTTTCCACTTAAAGCACTGGGCATTTGCTCTTCATGAAGAAATCTTCAGAAAATATTTACTTTAGTGATATTTTAATACATTTCGCTGTTACATACAACAAAGCGTGGAACCTCCGTGTGTTGTAGTAATAGTATACAGTAGTAATGGTTCAAATGAGTTTTAGTTCTACTAATCCGTTTCACCATCTGTTTTTTTCATCATGATTGGGCCAGCTCACCCTCTGGGACTGTCTTGTCCAGGACGGTGAAGTTAGCAGAGAAGCCTTCCTTAGCGATGGCGCTGTCCGTGTTGATTGTCAGTGCCAAAATTCCTGTATAGGAGATGATCCTGCCGGGGGTGTTCTGGCCGCAGTACCGTCCGATGTATGGCCCGACTGCAAACAGAAATGAGAATAAAAGCAAAGGCATTGTTAAAATGGTTGCTGCAGCCCTGTCACACATGGGTTTAACTAGTAACCCCCCCAAGCAAGGTGTGAAAACTAGTGTGTCAGTGAGGTATGGCGCTGACCCCATAAAGAGGCATGAGAAAAAAACGTCCTTGCATTCCAGATCCGCTGGCCTGCCGGACACAAAGAGAAGAGAAGGGCGGCCGGTGGTGTGGGGCCAGGTCACAGTCTCCGTCTATTTGCTTGGCTGTAAATACCAAAAACCCAGACTCCTATTCATCGACAGCCATCACCCAATACGTTTTGTGAAGGAAGTCAAACAAGTAAAGATAGAGCAGGGACGATGAGAGAACATTAAGAGACAGAAAGCAATAAAAGGACAAGAAGTGAAGGTTCCGCTGAGAAGCCTGAGAAAAATGGGGTAAACACAGTGGAAAGTTAGGAGGAGAGAGATAGAGATGGAAAGAGAGGAACCTGGGGAAAGAGGGTTTAGTAGTGAGGGAGAGCAAAAGAACACAGTGACCTTGCTCTCTTCCTTTGATGTGTGCTATGATCCATGCCCCTTTATGAATGTGTTCCTGTCAGTGCGTGGGGACCTGCAGCTTATCTGTGATTAGTAATGCTGTGATCAGCAGCGAGTGACAGTCCTGCCTCCCCAAAGCCTCCTGTCATCCAAAACATGGCACTTCCAGCCCTGCTCCAACATAAAAGCCAAAGGCCAGGCCATGGGGGGTGGGTGTTGGTGGTTGGTTGGCTTATGGACGCAGTGGTGTGACGGCTAAGATTAATCTTCATAAAACAGATGCCGGGTACATGTCTTTGAAAATATGGTGTGCCTTTAATCCCAGTAAGACCTGATCTGAAGAAATAAAAAAAAGGCCTATCTGCCGGATTATCTGCATGACTCCACAGTGCCATGAAATTTTAAACAAACTCACTATGAACTCTGCCTCTTGCCTGGCTCCACATTCCGCAGGGAGAAGGAAGAAAGGCGCAGAGCTTCTTCTTTCTTCCTCAGTGGCTGTCCAGTGAGGTGTGCTTTGAGGGGCGAGGGGAACAAGAAGGTGTGAATCCCCCCGGCTGCATGCCCGGACATCTCTAATCTCAGCACACTCCAGTAGCAAGCATGCCTCCTGTGCTAATGCACTATCGATCCAGCAGGCACAACAGGAAGCGACTGGCAAAAGCCAACACTCTATTTTCCTCCTATGGCTTATTTTTATACACCACTATCTGTCACACACAGCAACCTTCAAAGGGTGTTATGATAAAAAAAAAAAATGCTTGTGAGAGGTTTCTGCCACTGTTGGACAAAAGGAAGGCTTTTTCATCTTATTCCACCACTGTCATCTCTTAATTTTAATAACTAAAGAGGAGCAGAGACATTTTTTTTTCAAACCCCATGCTGATTCTTCAAAAACTACATTCCAGAACAACCATGGATTTTCTCATTTTTCCAACCCTCTGACAATCTTCTCAATCAGCACAAATCTTGGAAATGAAATGGGAAAACTCGAGGGGAGGGCTCCCAAACGAGCCCCACTCTGAGGAATCAAAGGTCAGCCCTGCAAAGTTAACATCATCAGAGATGTGAACTTTAACTAAACTCCCCAGAATAGGCGTCTGTGATTAACACTTCAACCTTATCACCTAGAAGGCTAGGTGCAGCGAATACCGATGTGCAACCAGGTTAAGCAGAGCTAGATAACAATTCTTTCGGTTTTCAGCCATGTACGGGTGAGCCAGGCTTTCATCTTGCCAGCTCCCGAGGTTAGAATCTCTGACATAAAAACTTCAAGATGTGATTTTGCTCGCTGAGTTAAAAGGCTAATCTCAGGCTGTGGAGGCAAGCTTTGAACCCTCCTCACCTCATCTCACCGTCCTCCCACTGACTTTAAAGATGAATAGATTCTGAAAACTGTTTCAGGGCAGTGTTTGATTTTGTGCATTTTTGTGAGTGTATGGGAATACGTGAGCAAGGGTTGGTTTGGGTCAGGTCCGTAACGGTTTAGCTAAATATATGAATCCTCTCTGGCAACTTTTTCCAACCCACTGGTGAGAAATTGAAAGAAAAGAAAAAAACCTTTTGGAGGTATTTTCTGTTAGATAGGACTGTCATGCAAAAGCTTAAACCCTTTATCTTATATTAGACCTTGTTCAAATGTATTGGCCCTAACATATTGTTGCACACAGCCAACATATGATGTGAAAAAGGAACAGTGTAATGAAAACGGAGACATCTGCAAGGTATGGTAAAGACTGTTCAGGTCACTGGTCTGGATATAGTAATATATATAGAAATACTGCACTAAATGAAGCTGAATCTAGTTATCTACCCTGCTGTATTCTCCTGCTTCCATCGCCTTATGGCAACCCCCTTTTTCTTTGGAACATTGACAAAAAAATATCTTGCTTTACAATTAACTATTCATAGGAAACCGGTGTCCCCACACAGAGTAGCTCAAATGCCATTGCATTGTGTTTGCACAAAAATGGCTAACATGCGGTTCTTTATCAGGAACTGCCCTCAGTTCTTCAGACAAAGCAATACAATGTAGTTTTTACTCTATGTCTTTACTTTAAAACATTGTTAGGTTTATTCAATGATGATTGTAAAGTTAATGTGTGTGCATATGGAACATTGGAGAAATTAGATGCTTCACTCTGTTTACTCTATTTTGTAACTCACCCCATGTGTTATGATCTGCTAATAAAAAGACTTTGCAGAAGAAGTCAGTCAGAATGTAGCGCTCTCCTTCTGCAGAAGCCGTTAAAAAATCCCTCTTCTGTGTGGACTCAGTTTCTCTTTTATGAACCTACATTTTTTAACCTAACAAACATATACACATATTAAAACCTCAGAGAAAAAAGTCATTATCTGTTCACTCTCTCAGCATAAAACAAGACTAAAATTACTATAGCTGTAGCTATAATATAGCTTCCCACCATCAGTGTGTGGTTGAATGACTAAATATAGTGTGGTCAAATCTCCTGAATTGAAAAAGCACAGTATAAGTACAGGCCATTTATGATTTACAAACTCAACTAGTCACAGAAAATGGATAGTTTTGTTTGACCAAGTAACTACGCTGCAAATATAATGTTCATTATTTCGAGATTCCATGACATAAGATCTTCAAAGTTACATTTATAACAATTAGTGTTTTAAGTTTTTGCATATTCTAGATGAAGTAAAGATTGGTAAATTAAAAATAGTATAAATAATTAATCGACTTAAATTACTGAGATCAGGGCTTACTTTGACTTAACTAGATGTGGGAGAGGTGGTTTCAAAAAGTCCTTGGTATGTATAAAAAGTACTTTTTCCTTTAAGTACTTTTTTGAGTTTCTTTACTTTACTTGAGTCCACAAATGTGAGAAACTCAGGGAAGATATTATTTGTAATTTATAAATTGTATTAAGCCATTGGTTGTTGCCATGTGGCTAAGTTGTTCAGTAGGACGAATTCTCAAATTAGAGCTGTGGTTTCTTTTTGGTAATAGACTCAACCTTAAACCACTATTCACCAGTGAAAGTGTGAGGAGAATCGCACTTCTACTTAATAAGAAACAATAAAGATAGCTTTCCTTTTTTGTGTCATGTTTATGCTAACGTTCTTCACAGGTGGTGTAGAATTTGTAGCAGGTGGCTCTACGCATCATTGCATCAGGCAATGTTTTTTAAAACTACACTGGAAATTACACAGAAATGTACTGATATTAGAAAATGTAACTTGTATTTTTGAATTCTTTGGGGCTTTTAAATGCATGTAATTTTGAAAACTTAGATGTTTTTTTTTAAGTGAGTAATCCAATACTTCAACTTGAGTAGATGTAACTTTTACTTGTTGGTGAGTAAAATTTGACTATGAGTATGAGGACTTTTACTCAAGTACTACTGTTGAGTACTTTATCCACCACTGGTGATTTGGTAAATTTCCTGTCTTTTTTTCTTTGTTTTCAACGACAGTCCAACATGCTGTTTCTGCTCACCTCCTGGGAAACCATCCCAGATCTCCAACCGGTCGTAGCGGCAAAAGACACCACTAGGGGGTGTTGGGTCGGCTTCCAGCTCGAAGCTCTCAAACTCCAGGATGATTTCTGACATCTTTGGGGCAAAGATCATGAAGGTGCAGTCCAGGTTGTTGGGGTATTTCTCCGGAAACCCTGGCGACTTTATGACACCACTGTTGGAGGTGAAGTTTTTGGAGCACTCGGGACCTACAGGGGAATAGAACAACAAGACTGTGAATTAAAATATGGGAGAAAAGGGCAAAAAAAGAAAAGAGGAGGAGATAATGATTTTGGATGGCAGTTGTGAATTTGATTTGTTTGAGTTCTCCCCTGTTTCCCAGCAGGTCTGTTTAGACCAGGACAGTTTATGTGGGTGCTACATCTGGATCTCTTAACTCTGCCTCTGACTTACTCTTTGTTTTTCTCCCCTTCCTAAGACAAACATCACTCCACATCCTACAGCAAGTATATGTTAAATCAGTGATTCCTGGAACATCTGGACCAACCCTGTAAACATTAGTAAAAGGCCTAAATCACCAAAGTCACGACAAATAAACAGTTTTATTCAAACCGTAATTCTTGCTTGTCTCACACACACATAAGCCCTCATCAAGATGTCTGTGAAACACATGAGAGGTGCTCGAGCTTGAATGATGGAAGGGAGAGCAATGGCTGTGCATACATCAACACACATACTCACAGTTTTACACAGAGGGAAGTCAAAATATTTATGCACAGCTCCCCAGAGAGCTGCCTTTTGGCTGATGAGGAAAATTAAAACGCTTCCCATAGTAGCTACCTCTTATGAGCACAAAATTATGATTTGAAAATGAGTGACACATAAAAGAAAAATACTCCAACAGCTGCAAAATGATTTCTAAAAGCAATAGGGGTAAGTGATGTTGGGATTTGTCAGCTCAAGTGTGGGTCCAAGGTTTGCTCAATGCAAAAAACACATAACTAAAAAAAAAAAAAAAGTACTGTCATTCGGGGCAATTATTTGGAGCCATTAGCAGCCCGAATTGTATCCAGGATAACATCATTTTAATGCAAGTCTGGCAGCTGGTAAGATGAGTGCAGATGTGGCCAATAGAGACCAAAATTGCAGGGAGTTATCGCTGGATAGAGCTGCTGTCCTGCAGTCACTGTAGCTTAAATGAATCTGGCAAACTGCTTTTTCAGGCGTCACTCAAGCATCTTGCCTGGCTCCTAATTGAAGACCATCAGGCCCACTTGAGTCTGTCCACCAGCAGAGTGAGTAAAGGGCTGCAGAACCATATTGATTTTCTTTCTCCACAAGCTGAAAGCCATGGCGAGCAGCGTTTTTGACTCGAAAGAGAGTTGACATTTAGCACAGCAGCTAAAGTGTGGCCTTCGAGAACAGTAGGTACCATTAATTTCACAGCTTCCCCTTGTATTTACTTGGAGAAAATGGAAGGATTTTGCTGAAAGACGCTGTTCCCTGGATGTAGTATGGCACTTACCTTTGCTGCATTTGGGATAATGTCATGCATTTTCTGGTTGGAAAAAAAAACAATAGATGGAGACCAATTCTGTCAAAATTGTTGCTGTAGAAGTGAAGTACTCCTCATAGCTGTTGGACTTCCAAAAGCCGTTGGCTTGAATGTAACTCACTTGCCTGCATCCTAAATTTCCCCCCTGTGCCGACCAGATCAGACTGGAGGTTTGGGAAGGGTTTACTCAAAAACCCAAATCCACAGAGAGGTTGAATGCATAGCCTTAAATGAACGATAAGAGACTGGGATCTAAATATGACTCCTCAGTTACCTCAATCGTTTTTATTCACTCCACCTTGGTCTCTAAAAGTGAAATACAAGTGAACCAATCATTTATGCCAGCAGGTATATTTTGGCATTGTGAAAGGAAGCCAGAGTACCTGAGACAGTCTGCATACACACAACATACAAAATGTTCCAAGAAAACCTTGGCATAAGGTGGCCTCACCTCTTGTCCTTCATGCAAATGTCATTAATCAAATAAAAGATGCCTGTTTTTCTATTTCTGGGTGTTTGTTACTTTTGTCTTGTCCTGCATTACTTGTGTATTGATACATTTTTACACTGTGGTTTTCCTCTTTTTACTCTGAGGTAAAGCCAAGGGCAAATTTCTCTATTGACATTTTCTGCGTCCCTGGCTATATACAAAGGAAAACCAAAATGGACTAGTGAGAAAGGCAGAACACTCTGCCTGCTCCCACCGGTGAGATTATCATCTTGCTGATCTCTTTTATCTACTCCTTCCTTGTATGGGAGGTGCTAACTCCCCAGCTCCCTTTACTACACCTAGAATGCTCTGTGGTACCATCAGCGGTGGGGAGGCTTTTAGTGATGGCAGTGCATTTCTCTGATATTGTCTGTACAAAACACACCACTTGTGTTGACAGGGAGCTTCTGGAGACAAATATATATCTAAGGGTCAATTGAATTCTTACTCCCTGCCCCCAAACTTAATCTATCTCACCTTGTGTTGTTTTATTGCTTTACTGTTCTTTGTCTCTCCTAGCTGACTCTGTGCCATGATGGAAGAGGGGTTAAACCCAATGGCATTTGTAAATATAAATGCTATACAAGTAGTTTGACTTCAGTCCAAACATAGCATTTGAAAAAAATTATCCGAAGTTTATAGAAGGAAAGAGAAGTGACCTTGATCGAACATTTACTGCTGACCTCCTACAGCTCAATTTGCGTCATACTCAGTGAGTGTGTAGACTATTTCTAATAGGGAAAGTTGGAACTTCGTTTATGGTACCTAATGACAATTTGATGTTAAACAATTTAATCTTCACCTTTACTAAACTGTTGCTCTGTGTGCTGGAAAGCAGAACTACATTTGGACAAGAATCCGGGTCTAAATATGACATTTTTTTGTACTTTTTCTCTGACCCCCTTTTCAATTTCCTCATGTTGTTCTTTTTCAAGCTAATCACCATTGGCGTTTCTGGCTGGAGCCAAGATGGCTGAGGGTGTTGATTTTGGACTGCAAAGGAAAATCACCACTGTTTATGTACCTTGTTGTTCTCTGGCCGGTCATTAGGACCCTCTACCCAACCTCATTCCTCATGCCTTCCTCATACCTCCCCCTCCCCTTTATTTTGCCCTTATGTCACACTGACAGAAGGCCTGATTGCTTGAGGAAAATGAACTCTTTCAGCACTAAATCAACCATTAACCAGAAGCGTGTGGAGTTCCAATCATTGAAACAGATGGGGAAGGCAGGTCTACACTCACCAGCACCCTCAAACGTACATTCTTAGGCTCAGCTATGCCAACCTGGTATTTACAACACAAACACCCATTTCAGTAAAAGGAGAAAGGAAACATGTCTGATAAGATGGGGTACAGGCTGGGGTGGAGTTTCCTTTGTTATTTTCACTGTGGAAAAAGCATTGCCATACAAATCCATATTTTCACAGGTGTGCGCTTTATATGATGGATGTAATCTTATTTTGACGTGACCACAAGATTTCTTGATAAAATGTGTTTTGTGGTGCTACATGGTGGCCCCACTTCAAACAGAATCAGTCACTCTGCTGAGTAATTGAAAGCAATATAAAGTTCCACCTAAAGGAGGCTGGGAGAGGCAAGAGTAAGTGACTATTATCTTTGGGTCCTTGCCTTCTTCAGTTAACTGTCCAGGGTGTTGATATGCCACAGAGCGAACCGTTAAGCCACTAGTAGAAACTCTGCTCTCTTTCTCGTGTCCCTTTAGGAAAATAGCTCCCTTTGAAATCGTTTGTGCATTTTTGCTATCACACTGTCAACTGTGATTCAGTGGAAATAGGAGCTGTGTTGTGAAATCATAAAACTGTGGGTTTGATTCCATCTTTCTCTTCTCTCACATTGACATCTTTTCTGGAGCCCCAATCCAAAGTTGCTTTCCAAATGTCTGTTTTTGTATAAAGTTGTGTATGTTTTAGTGAGCATTTGGATGAATGCTGCTATAGTTTACAGCCCTATAAGTAGAAAAAAAAGGAACACAAATTCCGACCATTGACACGTTCTTCATTTAAAATGGTAGCAGGTTTTTTTAATTGTGAAAATCAAACTTTAGCTCAGTTGAATGCACCTCTTTATGACTGGCACTGGGTTTGCATTGATCCCTAACTTCATCAACCTTAGGTTTGAGTTATATATATAGTATATTTAATGTTTTGAATCAAAATAACTTTTTAACCACTCAAACTAATGCGGGGCTAAAAGAGTCTGAATAAAAATACAAGCACATATGGGATTCATCAATACAAACACGTGATTCAAAAATGCCCAGGACATGATTCAGTGTTGTATTTCTGATGCAAATACAAATATATCTTGATTTAAAAACTGCTTGTTTTCTGTTGCCATCGGTGCATTTATCTGTGGATTTTTGATACGGTTTGACATACAAATGCCTTTTTTAAACAGGGAAAGATCTGCAACCAATCAAATGTTGCCCTTGCTCCAGCCAAGTACAAGAATGCACCTCACACGAGGGATGATTTATTCACTGTTCACATGAGCCCTTTCACATTTGGATATATCATGCATTCTGTAAAACAAAATGAACTCTTGTGATATTTTCAGTCCAGAGCGAAGCTGTGTAAATCTGAAATGCATTATTTAGCATTTTAGTAGCTTGAAAACAGCAACAGTGTCTATTGGCTGCAGCTGCTGGAATACATAATGTTCACTTTTCTTCACTATTTGCCTCTGCTCTTCATTTATGCAGAATCTGCAGTTACTGCTGCCAATAACTCATGTTTGTCTCTCCACAGAAGCTTGAGTCGTCCTGGGATTGTTGTATAATTAGTTTCGTCTTACTTGATGGGGATTTGAGCTTTTTAAAAGATTCTCCTTTAAAATTAGACTGATTTTGATTCTTTCCTGGACAAAGCATTTGAAGGACAAAAGTGTGGCCCTCATCTATATTCACTTCCGCTGAGAAGGATGACAACTCCAAATTATAGTCAGAAAATGTTTTTTTTCAGCAAAAGAAATTCCACACATAGGCCTTATATTTAGGTTACATTAAATATTTTCCTATTATTATTTTCTTTTAAATTGACAATAAAGTATTGGGAAAGTACACTCATATTTCATTCTAACCAAATGGCTTTGGGTTCTCTGACTTATCTTAATTTTTCGTAAAGCTGCCCTCCATGCTGGTTCAGTCTGCAGCCTCATCAGTTTTACACAAGAACACCACCAAGACTTTAACCTTATCAACAGGCTTCAAACCGCAGGTACAGCTTAACTTAGAATTGCTCTCGCCCTTTTATGCCTCTATAAAACTCAACCGTTTCTATCAGGGCCCTTTTTTTAATCTTTGCTGGATGAGGTTATAATTAGGACCACTCCAATAGACTGTTATGAGGCGACGCTGTTTCTACTTTCCTAAAGTGAAAAATAGCTGGGTCCACTGCTGCATCAGATAAAGCAGGTTCAGCATTGGAGATGAATAAACAGACAATCCTTCTTAGAACTTCAATTACTAAAGACATGTTATGAACATAATATTTTGTACTTAAATTGAAACATTTCATGCAAGCAGAAGTCTATAAATAGGATTCATTGTGACTAGAGCATGTAGGGGAAGCCAAAAGTGCCACATGTTCAATACATTAAAAAGTGGCAAGATTTTCATTTGCAAATGTGAATACTTAATAAGAATGCAAGGCCCAGCCTATCTAGGCTATTAGCTGGGCTGTTTCTAAAAAATCTGTTGTCCAACCTTGGAGCTCCTTATTTTATCTGGGTTTCTCTTCTAGATGAAGCATTACTACAGCGGTTCTGTGTTTTAGCATTCCTGTTCTTTCTTCTCAAACCCACAGAGGGTTAAAGAAGACGGCTGTTCATTCTGAGCTGAGTTTTGCTGGAGGTTTCATTGTGATGAAATGGAACTGTCCTCTCTCCTTGTTTCCTCCTTTGGTTTCAGTACGAGGAATTGCTTAAATGTTATCTTCTCAATCAGGCATCTGCCCCTTCAAGTTGGACTGTACCACTGGTCATGATGACATTATGTTAATTTTTGCTATACAAACAAAGTAAGTAAGTAGCTAACAAAGTAAGTAAGTAGCTAACAGTCACAAACTGTGCTGGACCAGTGCATAAAGCCTGTAAAATCTCTAAAGCTGAGTACAAAAAAAAAACTAATTTGCTTTGCAGATGGAAAATCTTAATTGAGACCTCCTTACATCACTGTTTTGTTCAATTAAAATAAAAGTTAACAAAGAAATAAAACTACTCTGCCAGATAGACTACTCCTTTCAGCTCAAAATCTCCCCCATGCCATCTCATTTGCTCCCGTGCTACTCTTGCCAGTCTCTGGTCAGTCAAGCGCCGCTGCCAATTTGCAGGCTATAAAATAAATAGCCCGTGCTAATTAAGATGGCTTGATGGGACCTAGCAGTGGCGAGGGGTAGAGAGTGATGTGGAATCAGCCAAAGGGAGCCACAAAACAACCTGTTCCCTTCCAATTAGACACTTTGCAGGCCACAGCTGATAAGAGCCAGAGCTGAGAGTGCCAGCGCTTTGAGGAGTGGGGGAAAGTGTATTTAGTTTACAGCTTTGGTGGGGTCAGCATGCCCATGTAAACATACTTTTATAATCTGGCACATGATCCCAAAAGGGATGTGTGTTTACATATATTTATTTCAAACGTTTATTTGTCTTTGTCTGACCTTTGCTTGAGTTTAACTCCCAGACGTGGACTTGCTGTGATCCATGCCTATAATCACAGCAATAAACAGCCGGCAGTCGCAGTATTTTCCTTCATTGACATGCACAAGTGCAAACCTCCCGCTTCTCTATCTGTTATGGAGCATCTGTGTCTCATCATTAAACATTACATGTGTTAGCCAACACAATGTTTTGTTTTTGTTTCCAGCTAATGCTCTGTTTGTTGATAAGCGGTGCTAATCAGCTAACTCTGTATCTCTCGTAGTGCTTGATTCTCTCCGACTCTAACAAACAGAGATGTTAATTGATCTCAGGACCCTGCATCTGGCAGGAGCTGAGAATGCCGTATTAAAAAGCACAAAGCAAATTCATGGTGCAATGATGCTTTGGATCCACTAAAGGCTGAATTGGTGCTCCCTGGTTCTCCCCTCCACAGGGGGGAAAAGAACGCCATGTGTAAAAGAGCCAAAAAAAAAAAATTATTCCTCTGGACTCCCTCTCCTCCCAAACTCTGGTTCACCCAGTGAAAAAGCACAGCTTGTCTTCAAGCTCCAACTATTTATACCTCTGTCTCTGTTCTAGCATATTTTCTGCTAGATCTGTTATTTTCCTCATCCAAGCTGCTCTGCTTCGTCAAAGGACCCCTAACACGGCTCATTTCTAATCAGCCACCGTTAATAGAGGAGATGGGGGAATACTATGGTAATTGTGAAAAGAATGTTGCGATTTAGCCGGCCTATCAGGGGGAATGAGGCGGCATGTGCAGATGACTTTGCGTATGTCGGGGCGGAGTGTGGCTTTGATCTCCTAAATGGCCCCACACTCCACCAGCTGCCCTGCCGTGGTGGCGACACGCACAAACCCAGCCACTCAAACACAATCACAAACACAGATTAGAAGAGAGAAGGAACCTTGCCAGGCTATTCATCACGTCTCAGAGGTCACGGGGGGGCTTCCCTATACACTGCTGCTAAGGTTAATTAATGAAATGGAGTCTATAGCACCTGTCTGCTTACTAGTAACGCTGTAGGCTGTCCTCATCCTTCATCTTCTGCTATTCCAAACAAAGGAAGACTGCCTATCAGCAGGAAATTCTTCTTGGAATTCTGCTGTGTTCTGATAAGACAGACATAACCTAATAACATTTGGGCCAACCAACCAGAATGTTACCAGGACATCCTTTTTTTTCTTTTTGATAAAGACCAGAAACTGGGACACTAAGAGGATTTCCTGATGTGATGCCTGCTTAAAAAGGACTGAGTTTACTTTCTCCCCAACTGGTGTTTCTGCTATAACAACAGCCGGTTCCTTCGGCCCCTGTTGAATGCCAGCTCACCAAAACACAGCAACACTTTAACAGCATTTGTTCGATCACAGCTCAGAGAATCATAGCTTCGCTTATAGTGTAAGGAGGAAAAAATATGGGGTTATGATTCATTTGTTTTGACCCACACATATTGCCTGCCATATTGCATTGGCTTAATGTGGCGCTTTGACGCCTTGACTAAAGCACAAACTTTACAAACACAAACAAAAAGCATGAAATTAGATAGATTCTTAGACAGAATATCACTTCATTGTCAAGATTTTTCTTTCGGTTTCAAACTGTATCAAACTCCATCAGATGTGGTGATGGATGCATTGGGCTTTGCAGTTATCACTTTCTTGTGTGTCTTTCCAGTTGGTTCAGAGGTCAATTTAGTTTATTTAATTACCAAAAATTTTATTAAACAGTTTATCTCTGGGTTGGGTTGATTGTTGGGGAAAGAAACACAAAGCCGTGTCTACATAAACAGTGATATTTGGATAAAACAAAGACTTTCCGCCACGCCAGCAATTGGCAACTGAGCTTTCAGTTGGGGGAAAACATGTAATCTTTAAAAACACTTTCCCAAATCTCCATTTGTGGTTTTTTCATGTGAACTGGATACCCAAACAGTGGTAAAAGCAAGATGTAGAGGCTCAATTTATGCATGCCCAATTTTGAGCTAACACCACAAAAGTAGAGCCATAATTACAAGTTTGATCCTTTTTTTATTGCAGTTCCAATCAAAAAAATAAAATAAAATAAAAAAAAACATCTCATCTCTCCGCTATTTATTTTCAAAATCATATTTGTACAAATTTCAAGTTGACTTCACCAACTTTACCATCTAGAAGAGCACCATGAGGGTGGGTTAAAAAACAAACAAACATGTTACCCCATTTACACTACCCTTGAAAAACCGATCCATGCCGAGACCGGTCCGAGCTCGGATCAGTTAACCAGGCCGACCTCGGTTCTGACGACCGTTTACACATCACGCTATCACGGTTCCTCGACTCCTCGCCTCCTAGTGACGATCTGCGGTATTACTGCCAGTATTAAAGGAGGAAATCAAGCAGTTGGTGGCGGTAATGCACCAAAAGTTGTTTGCCAACCGCCATAAAACACAAGAAGAAGAAGACGAAGAAGGAGGGAATCAAGCAAATCAAAATGGCGGCGCCCGTCACATTCAGAAAGTTATGCTTGATTATTATTGCTGTACTTCGGTATTATTGTTTAAAATGCCATTATTTAAAATGTTGCGTGGAGAAGATTTCGATTGTTGTTTATAGTTGAAGAAGAAGTCGTTCTTCTTCTTCTGTTTCTGGAGGGGCATTACCGCCAACTACTGGAATGGAGTGTGAATCGGGATGTGCAGCCAGACGGGGATGACGCGTTCTGCTCATGCGCTCTTGAGCCAGTGAAAAACCGAGCCGAGCCCACCTCTGGAACTGGTCTGCAGTTATCTCGGTTCGGTTGTGTCTAGCGCGGTTCAGTTCAGTTTGCTTTCTATTTACACACGATAAGTTATCTCAGTTACTGAGCTCGGACCAGTCTCGGCACAGTTTTTCAAGGGTAGTGTAAATGGGGTATAAGTTAATAAAAACACCTAAAACACTGGAAGAATGGTGTCCATCTCCAGCATTTAATTGTATCCCTTGTTTCATATAACGAGGTTTAACATGTACGAAGTAATTTAAAGTTTCGGATTACCTCAGATGGAGATAAACATCTTAAACTTACAGTATTGCACCCCTAAAGGACAGGAACTGTGCGGCATTAGAGAATACGTTTCTGTGCTTTATAGACGTTCAGCATACCTGTCTTAAAGATCTCATATCGGATGGAGAAACCCGCTCCGTGCGTCTCGTAGTCCGACACAAACTTGATAAAGAGCTGGTTTCCAGAGGAGACGACCGCCGAGGGGGCTATCTTCCCGCAGTACTTCCCCACTAGCTGCCCGCTCTCATCCACGCCATCTCGCACCTCGACGTAGTCATACCTAAAAGGAAAAAAGCAACAGAGACAGTGTTGGTCACAAGCTGCCGGTAGGAGTATAATGCTCTGCTTCAATGTAGTTGATCTCAAGCAAGTTGATGATTAAAACTGTGGTGTTTTAGTTTTTCTGCTGGGCATTTTAGAGGAGGTGCGCTGCATAGAGGTACACACACAGTGGGACAGAAACACCACGCAACAGGGCATATTGTGTGAGTAATGCAGTGGAATTAAAACAGTGTGTGTTAATGAGGTCTCAGGTCAAATCTAAGTGAACAGGAGGCAATTTATGCTCACTTACAGAAGGGTTCACGCTTCTATCAGAACTGATATTAAATTCACCTAAATACTTTAAGTACTTAAGTCAAGCTTAATGGTCTTCTATGTCCCGTTTAATGACAGGATCACACACACAGCCTTTTTTAATACATGCAGGAAATACAGTGCAGGAGGTTCATTATTGTTTTTAAACAGAGCAGATACTAAAGGTATTCATAATCCGCACACTTCAAAAACATCAAAAAGGATTTTTAGACCTCTGGCTATTGAATGGGAGAGCATTGAACTGAGTCACAGCAGAGTTTGGGAGTAAACAAATTGAGCGGCTTTGTAGAGACAGGAGCCGCAGCGCAGAAACACGTCCAAGGAATCTGGCGTGCAAAACCTAAGCTGCTGAAGGGGAAATGGGAGAGTCTAGCCAGTGAGGGTGGTCTGAACAACCTCTACGTAGCGGTGTGTGCGTTTGCTCTCAGGCACTTGTTAAAAGTCTACGATAAATGCATTTGATTGGTGGTTTATTACTCCAGTGCCCGCCTATGGTTGTGTATGTGTGTGGGTTTGAAAGATGGGCAGAGACGACTTTTCCATGCTGTGTTTTCACTCTATGTGACGGCAGGAGCAAAGCTTTGACAGCAGCCCTTCTTTTGGTTAGGTTCAGGTTTCAACTCTTTCTAATTACACATAATGTGAAATCCTGCCAAGTTTTCAGCTCTGCCGGCTCCTTGTCGAATATTTTCCCGGCCAAACGCTCGTGACCTGCCATTCGGTTCCCCTATCATCATTTAGGAGCAGATGAATAAGCTGCAATTCACAGACAGTCAGGCAGAAATAAATTTTGATGTATGAGAGAATAACAAGGAGCAGGTGTGTGGTCACATTCAGTCTCACACATACACACATGCTCCTTCGATCTAAGAAAATATGGCCTCTCTGGCCAATAGGGGCCTATTTTCATAGTTTTGTCTGATTCCAAAATTACTGTCAAAACATTTGGGCTCTTTAGTGATTCTGAACTCCGTTAATGCGTGGCTTTTTCTCCAACAAAATGTGATTTACGCTTTGAATGGCTGTGGGGTGAAACCATTTAGTTGTGGTTTTTACGTGTATCAGCACGCAGGATTTGCTACCTCTTTTCTTTCCCCTGGGCTGAATTTAGAAAAATAATATTTGTAAAAAAAATTCTTGAGAAAGTAGTTGCCAAACAAGTTTGCGATCACTTCCACCATAATGAACTTTTTGAAGAGTTTCAGTCTGGCTTTAGAGCTCATCATAGCACTGAAACAGCTCTGGTGAAAGTCACTAATGATATTCTCATGGCCTCAGATAATGGACTTGTATCTGTGCTCGTCCTGTTGGATCTTAGTGCTGCATTTGATACAGTTGACCATAATATTCTTTTAGAAAGACTTGAATATTTTGTTGGAATTAAAGGAACAGCAATAGACTGGTTTAAATCTTATCTATCTGATCGAATTCAGTTTGTTTATGTTAATGATAGATCTTCAACACACTCAAAGGTTACCTGTGGAGTACCACAGGGATCAGTGCTAGGACCAATTCTCTTTACTTTATACATGCTCCCAATTGGTAGAATTATTAGACAGCATGGGATTAATTTCCACTGTTACGCTGATGATACCCAGCTATATCTGTCTATAAATCCAGATGAAGCTAACCCATTACATAGATTACAGGCATGTCTTGAAGACATAAAAACCTGGATGACTCTTAACTTTCTGCTTCTGAATGCAGACAAAACAGAAGTTATAGTCTTTGGACCAGAGTCTCTGAAAAAGAAGCTGATTAGCCAGTCACTTCATTTGGATGGGATTAAACTGATTTCAGATAATAAAGTAAAAAATCTTGGTGTTATTTTTGATCAGGACCTGTCATTTAAATCCCATATCAAAGAGGTTTCTAGAATTTCCTTCTTTCATCTGAGGAACATTGCAAAAATTAGAAATATCCTGTCCAGGGGTGATGCTGAGAAACTAGTCCATGCATTTGTTACTTCAAGGCTGGACTATTGTAATTCTTTACTATCAGGAAGTCCACAAACTGTAGTTAAAAGCCTTCAGCTGATCCAAAATGCTGCAGCCAGAGTTCTAATGAAAATTAAAAGAGAGATCATATCTCGCCTATCCTGGCTTCTCTTCATTGGCTTCCTGTTAAATCAAGAATAGAATTTAAAATCCTTCTTCTCACATATAAAGCCTTAAATGGCCAAGCTCCATCTTATATCAGAGATATGATTGTTCCTTATGTTCCTAACAGAGCACTTCGCTCTCAATCTGCAGGTTTACTAGTGGTTCCTAGAATTTCTAAAAGTAGAATGGGAGGCAGATCTTTTAGTTATCAGGCTCCTCTCCTGTGGAACCAACTACCAGTTTTAGTCCGTGAGGCAGACACCCTGTCTACTTTTAAGGCTAGGCTTAAAACTTTCCTTTTTGATAAAGCTTATAGTTAGGGTGGCTCAGGTTATCCTGAGCTATCTCTATAGTTATGCTGCTATAGGCTTAGACTTTTGGAGGACATAGGGACCCCCATTTCATCATTCTGCTTCATTCTCTCTCTGTTCTCCTATTCTGCAGAATCTGTTAGTTCAATCTCTAACCTTCTGCTCTCTCTGCTTTTCCTCAGAGTAGCTTTGCCTCGTCTGTTCCTGTTTGGCTGTGACGTCATCCTGGAAAGAAACATCAGCTGTGCTGCTTCTATCAACACCCTTGTTTATAGATTTTGGAGATCGGCCTGTTTCCAGTGTGATCCTGTTTCTCTGACCGTGACTGTGTGGATGTGCTCTCTTCGTCCTCTGGCATGGGAGCTGCCTTGGAGCTCGTCTGCCTGGCTGTGTGTTTCCTGGACGGGGCCGCCTTTTACAGCTGCTTTTTGTATCTCTGCTTCTGTCTCCTTGAACCCCAGTCGGCCTCGGCAGATGGCCGCTCACACTGAGCCTGGTTCTGCTGGAGGTTTCTTCCTGTTAAAAGGGAGTTTTTCCTCTCCACTGTCGCTATAAGCATGCTTAATGTGGGGGATTGCATTTGAGTCAATGCAATCAACTGGTTTTCCTTAGATAGAAAACTTTGTATCAATTTGACTGTATGATCTGGTTGAACTGTAAAGTGCCTTGAGATGACATGTGTTGTGAATTTGGCGCTATATAAATAAACTGAATTGAATTGAATTGAATTAAAATTGAAATTTAGAAAAGAGGAAGTGTATTTATTAGAATTTGGGAATAAAGTTTATAAATATTAAGACAAGATGAGATGCTTACATAGCAGGACAAGAGGAGAAAGTGGCTCTTCTCATTTACAGAAACCAGTTCGATGACGTAGCTCAGATCAGCGGACTTCCTCGCTTGATTTAAGATCCACCATAAATACTGTCAATACTTGGTCACAGTAGATTTAAGTGGCCAACGCAAATTAAATTCTTCCAAGTGTGTGTTTATCTTGACTTAATAGAAGGAAATCCAAACCAAAGTTTAACCATCTGCCTTCATGTAACCCTGCCATCTGAATAATCTAATCTCAGTATAAATCCAGCTGTCTGTTTGAGAAAATTAGCGCAGGGGTCAAGGTTTAATCCTTAGAGATGTTTTTAGTCAAGGTTCAGTTAAAAAGACGATACCCTAACCTGTGATCAATGATCACCTAAAAAATCGGAGAGAAAAACTGTAAACCTTCTAAGAAAAGGTTGTCCATAACAACTTAGTTTCTGGGAAGGAACAACAATAATCAAAAGGACCATAACTCTGTATAAACTGCAGAGATAATCAGCTCAGAAGGGTAAAAAAGCCTGTTGACAAGACACCCGTACGTTACTCTCTTCAAAAACCTGTCCTTTATTGAAAAGCAGTATGAAGAAAGCAAAAAAAAAAAAAACTTTTCAATTTCCAAGCCATGTAGTAGAAACAGCAAACATTTTGACAGAGGTTTTCTCATCAGATAAGAGCAAATTTGAGCTTTCTGGTCTGTGGTAGGAAAACTGACAGGCTCATATTACCTGCAACACACCTAGTCCTCTGTTTGTTTGAAACATGTTTGTTGCAGCAACATGTTGTGGTAGCGTGTCAGAGTTGGTGGAAAGCAGGATTGAGATTCATTCAAGGCTAGTAGGAAAGTTAAGGGCATAGTTAATGTATAAAGGTTAACAGGTTAGATGGAAGCACATCAATGCTTGAAAGACCTAGTCAAAGTCCACATCTAAATCTTAAAGTATCAAGGCTTGAATATGGTAAATGATAAATGGCTTGTACTTATATAGCGCCTTTATTCAAGTCAGGAGACTTGACCAAAGCGCTTTACACTGAATTCATTCACCCATTTACGCACACACTGATGGTGACAAGCTACATTGTAGCCACAGCTGCCCTGGGGCTACCTTAACAGAAGTGGGGCTGCCGTACACTGGCGACACCGGGCCCTCTGACCACCATCAGTAGACAATGCAGGTGAAGTGTCTTGCCCAAGGACACAACGACACTGAAAGTCTGAGTCGGGGCTTGAACCGTCAATCCTTCGATTTCAAGGCAAACTCCTACATCCAACGCCACTGTCGCCCTATATAAATGATCAGACTGCGTCTAAACTAACAGTTATCATGAGCCCCATTAACACTACCCTTCTGAAACCGCGCCGAGAACGGTCCAAGCACATTAACCGAGATAACTGTTGAGTGTAAATGGAACATTGCTGAACATTTGATTGCCAGACACAATCGAACCGC